TGGAATGGGAGCACATTTACCAAGTCTGTTGCTGTTACATGCAGATGCCAGGGCCCTGCCTTGGCCAGGAAATCTGCATTTTCAGGACAGGGACCTGGAAGCTCAATTTTGAATGAATAGCACAGGTGATTCTTGTCAGCTGGGGAGCTGGGGACTCAGATGTGGGTACTGTTTGACAAGAAAGGAAACTGAGGCACAAAGAAACAACTTGCTCTAAGTTACTCAGACGCAAAGGGGCAGGGCCAGGATTTGGCCCAGAGAGGGCGGGAACCTGTCCAGGATCACACATTAGTTCTGGGACTGGGGTAGAGACTGCCGCTGTCCCCACCGCCCCCTCAAAGACCTGCTTGGGGCCTTCAGAGTCCACTAGCCACGTGTGGGGAAGCAGGTTGGCCTCCGGGGCCCAGGCGGCCTCTGTCCCTCTCTGCCCCCATTTCTTCCCCCACCTCCAGATGCCTTTTCTCAAGTAACTGCAGTGGGGAGGGCTTGGGTGGGGGCGGATGGCCTTGGGGCCAGAACACACAATGGCTGGGTCACTCCTTGGAGCCCTGCCAGAGGGTGGCAGGAAACCTGGGCTGTTTTTCTCCCCTGGGCTGCAACGGTGATTCAGGATGTGGAGAAACCAGGAGAGGGAAGGGGGGGTAGAGGAGGGAGAGGGGAACAGGAGGGAGACAGCGAGGGGAGAAGGAAGGGGAAGCAGGAGGGAGGAGGGGTCCCTGGCCTCAGGGGACCAAAGCCAGACTTTGGGAGCCAAACAGGGAGCCTGGTGAGCCCCAGCCCACCCTCACCACAGTGCAACATCCAGCAAGGGCACCCGGCTCCCCAAGGCCGTACAGTGCCAGCGCCATGGTGCTAACCACAGGCAAGGGCTCCCAGAGTCCTTCACAGCAAACTGAGGCCCCCTGCTGAGCTCACTCACGTTCCCTGCCGCCACTGACCCTGCCGGGCACAGGATAAAATCCTCAGTCCTGACTACAGCCTAAGTCCCTGGGTGCTACAAACGGTGAAGGGATTGTTTGCTAACCTAAGGACTGGCAACATTCAGAAAGAGATCGGTGCAGGAGATCCGGGACAGAGCGGGAGAATAATGTGGAACAAAACTCAAAATCAGGAAAAAGACCAGGCTGACCCATCTGATAGAGCCTGGGAGACCCCTGAGACTATGGCCCCTAGTCACCCTTCAGGCCTGGAATTGAACTCACTCCCGTGGCTTCCAGCCAAACAATAAACAGGCATGTGGGGTGAACATTTACACCAGGTAGATACACTCCTTAGAAGGATCAGTCCTGGGAGAACAGAAGGGCAGTGTTTGCACAGGGAGACAGCTCAGGGGGCAGGAATGCATGGGAAAGAAGGACACAGGGAAGAGGTAACCACAGGGAGGAAGTGGGAAGAGAGCTGTTCCATTGTGGGGAATTGTAGTCAATGTCATGAAACAAAACGTGTATGAACTGCTGTACGGAAAATGAATTTGCTCTGTAAACTTTCACTCCCATCACAATAAAGAAAGAAAGATTGGTTGTTCAAACCCATCGAGGGACCCTTCAGAAAACAGGCCTGAGCTTACAATAATAGGTCAGAGCTTTGAAAAGCCTCTGGAGCCGTTCTCCTCTGCACACGTGGAGTCACCAGGCATCAAAACTGATTCCACAGCAAATGGTGGGGTTTTTTTGGTTACTACGGCCTAAGGCCTGCCCACTCCTCCACCCTTTCACTCCTCTCCTCTCACTCCTTCCAAGGAGCCCTTGGTGGCACAGGCTGCCATCAAATTGATTCTGACCCACAGCGCCCCTAGAGGACAGAGTGGAACTGCACCACAGGGTCTCCAAGGCTGTCAATCTTCACAGAAGCAAAGCCCAAACCACACCCACTGCTGTGGAGTCGATTCTGACTCACAGCGCCCCTAGAGGAC